ATTTAAAATGTAATCTGCAAATATTTGCCATGTTTATAACTCCTCCTCCCCTCTTTTTTTTAATTGACCATTTGCTCTTGGATATATGTATATAGAAAATCTGGAATCACCTTTTCCTGTTTTATAAAAATCCTACTGAGATTCTGATTGGAACTACAATGACTACCCTGATCAACTTGGAGAAAATTGACCTTTTATAAAATTTTGGTTATTTTGTTTTGAGACAGGGTCTCACTATGTAGCCCAGGCTGGCCTTGAACTCATGGCAATCCTCCTGTGCCAGCCTTCCAAGTGCTAGGATTACAGACGTGTCACCATGCTTGGCTGACCTTTAATCTTAATATCCTTCAATATAAATGCTTTATGTTTCTACAGAAATAGTTCTGTATACTATTACATTTATTTCTAGGTATAATTTCTGGTTTTTGTTGCTATCTCCAGTGGTATCCTTTTTTTTCCCCCTTGATCTTTTTCTTTTTTATTGGTACGAGGGATCGAACTCATGACTACACACTTGCCAGGCAGGTGCTTATGCCGCTGAGCTAAACCCCCAGCCCCTCTAGTGGTATCTTTTTCAAACATTACATTTTTGGTTGTTGCTGATGTAGAGATACACAATTGTATTTGTACACTGATTATGTATCTAGTAACCTTATTAAATAATTGAGGCTCACTTAGAAAATGACTAAGTTTTATTTCTTCTGTTGAAAACACCTATACTAGGCCGGGGATATAGCTCAGAGGCACAGTGTCTGCCTGGCAAGTGTGAGGTCCTGAGTTCAATCCCCAGTACAAAAAAATTCCTATGTTTTATTTTTTTCTCTTGGCATATATGATAGATTTTCCAATTCAATAAAATTAGGAGTAAATAGGCATTTTTTTTCTTGTCCCTAGTAGTAAAGAAGATATTTTTAACATCAGTGGGTCTGAGAATTGAACAGATGTATGATAAATACCTTTTACCAGGCTACTAAAATCTCTCACTTTTCCTGGTTTGTGGGTAGTATTTTTCATAGACAGATTTTATCAAATTCTTTTCCTATAACTATTGAAGTGACATTTTTTTCTTTAATCTGCTTAATGATATGAATTAACATTAATAAATTTTCTTAATGCTAAACCAAACAGCATTCTTGGGAAATATAGAGGTTGGTGAATTCAACTTGCCTTTTTAAGGTTTCCTGAACACCTATCCATAAATAAGACTGACTTTTATTTTTCTTTCTTGTTCTTGTCTAGTTTTGGCATCATGGTTACACAAGCCTCATAAAATGAGTTAGGAAATGTTCTCCTTTTCTATTTTCTAAAGGAGTTTGCAAAAGATTAGAACTATCTGTTCCATGAGTGGTTGATAGAACTCTCCCAGAAAGCTGTCTAAATCTTGTGGGAATGTTTCTGTAATAGTTATAAGGCTATTTAATTTTTCTACTTCTTCTTTAGTCAGATTTGGAGATTACAGTATTCTAGGAATTGAACTGTTTTGTCTAAATTTAATTTGGAATAAATCTGCTTGTAGCAGTCCCTTATTATCTTTTTACTCTGTTGTAATTGTAATGCTACTTTTGCTTTTTTATACTTTTATCCTAAAAGTATTTTTTTTTTTTAAAGTAAAGTGGTTTGTCAGTTGTATAAATCCCCTCAAAGAACCAACTTTTAGTATGCTTTTCTCTTGGACCTCCTCCTTTTCGTTCTTTCCTATTCTGTTCTTATATCTATTATTATATAATGTAATTACATTGAATATTTCCTTATTCCTGTTTGAAGTTATTCTGTTTTACTTTTCTCAAGCTGTTGTTTAGCTCAGGATTTTGGTCTTTTGGTTCCCCTCCAATGTAAGTGCTTGAATCATTTTCTAAAAGCATTTTCTGTCTTGAGGACCCTTAAACACCCAGACCCCCCACCAGAGCCACCTAAATCAGCACTCTGCCCCTCAACCTTCTAGAGCAGGACTCTTCTTGGGGAGAAAATTTCACAGACTCAGCATTCTCCTAGACAGACTTTACTCAAGGGACTGTTTACATCATTGTTGAACTACAATATGATTCAACTAAAGTGACATTTAGATTATTTCCCTCTCTGTTAACTGGCTGGGTTTGAGAAACAGAAAATTAAGGGTAACAATCAATCAATTAAATTTCTGTGGTAGATTCAATGACTTTGCTACAATAACTAAATATAATCATTATGATTATAACATTTCAAACAATTCAGCCAAGGACCACAGTTACTTACTGGCTTCTAAAAGTACTCCTAGGCATAACTTTGAGATTCTTAACACTAACACCTCACGCATGTTAAATGGAATCTTGCCTGACTCAGCCTGTTATTGGAGGTGATGAGGACACACCCACCCCCCACACACACACCCGCGCACAAGAAGAGATGCCCAGGCAGAAGTGGGCTGGGTAGCGGGCAAGGTGGGAAGGGTTGTTCAGGATCAAGTTAGTTTATATAAAAGCTTGGAGGTGGGTGAGAATAGCCTCAGGGGCCACTAGGAGTTCCAGCTAGTATGTGCGAAGTGACAGATGAGCTGCTGTCCATCAGGCAGGCAGGGTCTCCAGGGCACAGGGAAAGGTGGCTGGACCTTATATCAAAAACCACAGAAATAAAACAGAGAAATACAAGAGGCACCCTAGCAGGTTCAGGCTCCCCTTCACATTATTGCACACTCTGTGCATGTGTTCTTGCAGGAACCCTAAAGTTTAGGGAAATTTTTTTGCTGCCTGAAAACATCTTCTGTTTCTGTTTTGTGTTTTCTTTTGAAGGACTCTAGGGAGGAAGTAATCTATACAAATTCTGAGACAGGACTAGGGCTGAGGTCCAGTGGCAGACTGCTGCTTGCTTAGCGCTGCAAGGCCCTGGGGCTTTGACGTTTAGCACAACAAAAACAAAACAAAACAAAATTCTGGGCAAATGAGATATTTTTCACTAACGATATATCTTTGCAGCAGGACTTTAAGTGCCTTGGGATGAACTTCAAGAATCTTGCCAAGAAAGAAAACCACATTCAGCAGATGCTCTTAAGAGAGGGAGCTTCTGATCTGAACAGGTGGCTCTAAAACACCTGTGATGGGCCCTGCCCCATACAGGCAATAACCACAGCCTCTAGCTCACTGGGAGGAAAACTGGCCTACATAAGTCTCTCCTGTCCCCACCTTCCGCCCTGCACATCCATCCTTCCACAAGTGGGACAGTACCTCTTCTACTAAAATAATTAACAAGAACATTATTCATTTAATGTTATTAAAGCAATTCAGGAAGAAGAAGGACAAGTGGACTTGTAGGTCAAAAGAGAAATTAGCAAGTATATATGATGGGCAGGTCTGGAGAGCTAAGGTATTACATGAGGGCTGTAATTAATAAAATCTTACTGCACTGTATTAGGGATTTTTTGCTAGAGAAAACTTTAGCTGCTCTTTCCACAAACTATTGTGATGATGGGTATTTTAGTTGCTTCATTATACATTATACATTTTACAATCTGTATGTATCCCATAATATCACAGTGCATATACATAGATATAACATTTATTTTGTTAAATATAGCAAATTAGCAGAGGTTTGATTATATATCAATTAACAGTGCTGAAGTATTTTATCTTTCAAGCAGGTTTTAAAAAACAGGCCAATGGGAAGGCTAGATGTCTCTCAGGCATTTTGAATTTGATCTACCCAGAAGCAAGCCCATTATCCCACACAGAATGTGGGATAATCTATCTATAATATAACTGACTTAGCCCCCTCCCCAAGTCAATGCATTAAAAAACAAAAACAAAGGTAAGGGGAATGGAGAGGATACTTGACATTAAAATAGATTAAAGATATATAGACACACACAATACCTGCATTACATCAAATGCAATATGAAAACATGATTGATCTCATGTGTCAGGAGAGATGGGGGCAGTCACAAGAGCCATCTTGAAACAATTAGAGAAATTTCACTGCATATGAATTATTAAATAGTATAGCCTTTTTTTTCCTTTCTTCTTTTTTTTAGGGGATGGGTGGTATGGGGATTGAACTCAGGGCCTTACACATGCTAGGCAAGCACTCTACTACTGAGCTACCTCCTCAGCACTAGGTAGTCTAGCCTTGAATTACTGCTACTTTCCTAAGCATGAGATCGGCTACTAGGTGGTAATGTTGAGGTATCTTACTGCAGTTCTAACTTTAGGAGACACACAGCTCACAGTGCCAAGATGTAACCAATCTACCTTCCAACACTTAGAAAAGGCTGGAAAGCAAAAGCGGGTTGGTGAAGTGTATAGGTGTCTACTGTACTAAACTCTCTACTTCCATGTAGCTTTTGAAAGTTTCCCAGACAAAAGAAAAACAAGTGATCACACAAAAAAGCCACTGTGCCCTTTCAGGGAGAAAAACCCTTAGACAGAGGGCCTTTCCAAAGCTATGGCATGGGCAGGAGGACAGTTAGGATTCAAGTGCAGGCATATGTCAGATGACAGCTTTGCTCTTCCAGTGAGAGTGGAGACACAGATGCTGAGGAAAGCGCTACTCTAGTCCATCAGAGACCCAGTAAGGGTATGCCTGGCACCTCACCAAGCCAAGGACACTGGGGCTTCATGAGGCTGGGCACTGTCAACTAAAATAAGCATACTGATCCACCTGCTAAGTCCTCAGTGTCCGCCCACAGCCACCACTGCACCACTGCACTGCACCCTGGAACCACGTTCCTACCTCAAATCACCTGTCCCCTGAGGGAGAGGGTAGCCAGGCAACCCAACCACTTAACGTCAGGAATCCAGTCTTCCTCAGACATGTGTCTGCCCACGGTGTCTGTTCTGGGTGTTTGCATCCCAAGCCCAGGGTCTTGTTTTACCCAATCCTGCCCTTTCTCCATAATCTGGATCCTCCATAACTTGGGTAGAAGTCTCCATCAGGATAAATGCCTTCTGTTAATGGCAATTATTGATTGTGAGTAAAAAGGAAGACTGAGAATATGAAGGTGGCTCGAGTACAGAGTGAAGATAAAGGCTTACCTCCCCCTGGAAGCTCTTCAGCAGCGGTGCTACCTGCTTGCGCAAATCCTGGAGCAGGAGAGCAGGTCAGCAAACGGCCGTTGGAGGAAGAAAGAGAAGGGAAACACTGGTTAGGGCTTCCTAAGAATTGCTTGGGGTTTTGTGCTAATTATCGCTGCATAACCAATCTGGCCCCTTCTGACCTTCACTCCTAAAAGAATCAATAGTGTTGACTTCAGAATTTATACTGGTTTATGTAACAGTGCTAGATTTTATTTCTGCTAAATCTTGGTCGGAAAGACTGAAGTTCTGCTGTTGGTCTATGTGAGAATACTGATTTAGAATAAAATGTAATGTAATGTAATGTAGGTTTGATGCTGTTTCTATCTGAGATGGATTTGGGCTATGGTAGTGAATTTTAGTAGCTATTTTGTGCACTGTCAGTGGGAGATCTAGCTTGTTTGAATCCATGTCTGATGCAATCAGTCACTAGAAATTTTATCCTAAGCCACTAGTACTATACTCATTTTGTAACATGGAGTCATCTAGTAGGTACATCTTTATCTCTTTCAGAGTATTTTACTTATAACCAAGTGATTGAGAAAGTACTTGAAGAGGCCAACTTCTTTACTAACAGTTCGACATAAAAACCACATTTTTGAGCATAATCTATGTGTGGGATCAAAGTCACTGGGTTTGGGACTAGGACCAGGCAATAACAATTGTTTAAACTCCAAAGCTCACGTTGATGTACATGCCCAAGTGAAACTGATTAGCGCTGATAAAGACAAACACATCAATCAATCTGTGACAGGGGACAAAATAAAAGTATTATTCCAGAAAAACAAACCCAATGCTATAGGAAGACATTACAAAAAAGATAAATTTGAATCAAGGCACGGTCTCATAAGACAGACCGAAAGCCCCTTAACTTCTTGGGTCACGAGGCTTTCTGAGAAGCCAAGGAAAACCTACTGTCTTGCCCTCAGGGACAGAACTACAAATGAATCCACTGGGGCCTTGTAAGGCCTACTAGAGCCTAGTTGGGGAGACCTGCTTTAGCCTTATGTTGTCCCACACAGGGCCATCAAGAACATATGGATATTTGTAACTAACTGTAACTTAATTGAAATGGGATAAACTTGACGAATTTTGTCACACTAGCCTTATCTCAACTGCTTAATGGCCCCATGAGGCCAGTAGATCTTGAACATCTCCATCATTGCAGGAACCTATTCATTGGACAAGGTTGTCTCATGAGCTTCTGTCAAATCTAACTACCACATGTTATTTCATGTCACAATCCAGTAAAAATATTTCATCACAGAAGATCAGTAAGGGCTGAGGTAAAGCTCAGTGGTAGACCACTGTAGCTAAAGCTACCACCTAGCATATGCATTACTCTGGGTTCCATCCTCAGTAAAATATACAACACACACACACACACACACACACACATATCTATTCTTTTCATTTTTCTAAAGAATGTATTCTTAAATGTGATACCATTATTTCCTTGGAGAAGCCAACAATTTTTCTTCTACTGGATGATTTTCTGTATCTCTACACCAAGTTTAAGGACAAAAAATAAGACTCATTTCAAAAAAATAACATTCCCTAAATATGTCTCTGTTACAATGCCTGAAACCTGTGAATAAGTTAGGAATGGATTTTGTGGGTAAGAAAGACTAAATTAGGAACTGTGAGTCTGGGAGATGATCTAGGCTCATCCAGTTGGGTGCCATGTCATCACAGTGTCCTCACAGGGAGCAGAAAGCATGGCCAGAGTCAGGAGGGAGATTTGAAAATGGAAGCCGAAGTGGGAATGATGTTGGGACACTGGCCAAAGAATGTGGGTCACCACCAGAGGCTGGAAACGACAGAGACAGATCCCCCCAGAGTTTCTAAAAGTACAAGTCTGCTGGCATCTTTGCGTTAGTCAATGGATCCCACTTTGGATCTCTGATCTCCAGCATTGTCCATGATGGATTTCTGTCATTTGAAGCCACTGGGATTCTGGTAAATTGCTACAGCTGCAATAAGAAAGCAAAACTTTCCTTGGTTTATTTAGCCCATTATACTCTAGAAAGACAGGCCCAAACATAACACCAAAAAGGCAATGAGGGGAAAGAGGGTGTGAAGAGTGAAGAATGATAGAAGCAAGACTGATCTTAGTTAGGGTCTGTGGCAAAGCCTACACTTTAATCAGAAGGAATAAAGGGATTGCTTTGCAAGGGACTTGATTGCTACAGACAATGATGTAGGAGGTATAAACACAGGTGGGTGTATTATGTGTACTTTGAGTGCCTTCTGCCCTACAAAGGGGCAGGCAGGACAAAAAGGAACTGTGCTCATGGGGGTGGCCCAGGACCTTGCTTTGCTGCATTGATAGCAGGTGGCCTCTGATGGCTCATCAGTTACTTCAAGAGGAACCCTAGGATCTAAGGTGCCTGGATCTGGATAGGATAGAAATGGGAAGCAGCCAGGACTCACTGCCTTGGTATATGCTTCTGGCATTTCAGTATGAGCTCTATAATCAGGCTGGGGCAATAGGAGTGCATTGCCTCCTCTCCAGTCTGGGGCTATGGAAGGGCCAGAAATGGGCTTTATCTATAGCATCCAACCAAGGGCTGGACAATACTTCTCTGAGGACACCTGGGCACAAGAAAGTTTACAACTCAAGAAGATTGGAAGCTGTTTTTATTCCACACCAGGCCCCATGTTCCTTTGCCCAATTGTTTCTAGCTCATCCCACCCCACACTAGTCACAGCACCACACTGTACCATGGGGGAGGCTGCAGATATGGCCAGCACTCGGAGCAGGGTACTTTGTAATATGTGAACTGGGGTAGTCTGGAAAGCAAAAAGACCAGCCCAAGCCTTCAGGCTGGAACTCTTGCCCAAGGTGCCAGTGAGTCTAGGCTTAACTTCATGGAGCATTTTTCTGTGTTCTCCATGTCTACAGTGGGGCCTGGCACACAGGGGGACTTAATGAGCACAGAATCAATGAATAAACAAGTAGATGAACAAACAACCCTTCAAAGAGAATTGAGAACCAGGAGAACCAGGGCCATCAGCCCACCTGCAGAAGAGCCCTCAGGGCAGGGTTCCTGGTTCCAAAACAGCTCTGTCCAACAAAAACAACACCGGCCACAAACGTGTATTTCTAGTAACTATATTTTAAAGATGCAAACAGATGTATATTAATTAAATTTTAATTTCATTTTATCCCCATACATCCCAAACACTATCTTTTCACAATAATTAATAAGGTATGTGTGGCCACCATCTTGGGTAGTTCATGGCTAAGAGATGCCTTTGCAAATCAGAGTTCTCTTGAGAGCAGCAGAGATGGTGACCCATTGCTGTGACATGAGTTACAGGAGAGGAAAGAACAGGCATTGAGAGAGATAGAAGAGAGCAGAAATATGGGCTAGGCACAGGAGAGTTTGTTAGGGAGGGGGTCTTTGGGTCCAATGGTGGCCATGGAAGGGAATAGCAGGTTCAGAACTAGATTTAGCCTCTGGGGAGCCACTAGCAACTCTGAGCAGCTTTAGTAGGGTGAGGAGATAAGAGCCCCTGTATCAAGTATGCAGAAGATTTGGAGAAACTGAAGCCATAAAAAAGAGAGAGAAGGTAAACAGGGTCCAGGAATGCCAAATGAGTGCTGCCAAATGAATGCTGCTCAGCACAGATCCATTTTTTTTCCCACAACGTCCCACGCCACATGAAGGATTGGTCCATTACAGAGATAAGGACAATCAAGACTTGGAAAGGAAAAGCAACTTGTCTAAGGTGATACAGGGAAAGTTAAGATTTGAACCCAGCTCTCTCACCATGATCTGTGCCACAGCCAGATAGCCATCTGGATAGCTAGCTATGTGGTGATATGTGAACAGACCTCTGTTACCACTCTAGAGGCTCAAAACAGGGCCCAAATTCAGAGAAATGGTCAAGTGGGATGGAGTCTTAGAACAACAAAGGCAAGAAAGGATGGACAAAGAGCTTGATGGAGATGTCTAGGTCAAAGGCAAGATGGGCAGTCAACAGTGCCTCCTACCAGGCCTCTCCAACCCTGTTGGCCTGGCACTGGGCCAGCATCATGACAGCACCAGCTGAGAAGTACTGGCTCTGAGGTGACAAAATTATTTCTATATCCTATGTCAGAATTCCAGGAAGGCCAAAGAGCTGTACTTCTTATGTTCTTAAAGCAAGCAAACTCCTTTTAACTATTCACTGTCATTGATTTGAGCGTCTGCATGTCACAGTGGACCTACTGAAGCAAGCTTTTTGGTATTAAAGCAGGATGTGTCTGCACACATATGCACATGCACACACACATATTTGAAGATCGTTGAGGAGAAAGAAATCACTATATATTCACACATCACACACAAACTAACACATATGTGCTTCAAGTTGCCAGCTAAAAGTCACTCATTCTAATTTTACTTTTGGCAGTTTGAGAAATTCCTTATCCAATTCTGCTGTCTGCAAATATTATCTGGGTTTGTGCTAAACTAAAGAAAGAGATCCAAAGATGCTCAATTTTGACCCATGGGACTTATGCAATTGGTTAGCAAAGGCATGATGTGATGCATTATTTTTGCGGAGTACAGTGCCCCTGGCTGTCTAGTGACCCAGGAAGCAGACTGCCACTGCTTCTGGTAGTGTCCACCCACATGCTCTTCACTATGGTCACCAGCTGAAGAAAGCAGGGTTCATTGGGCTGATGAAACCATACCAGAACAGGTGATAATTAGGTGACTAACACATTTGAAATCCTAACAATACTTGAGGGTTATATCCTTAATTCAGTTATAGTTTTTCACTGATAGTAATTTTCTTCAACTTTGTACCATCTGTTAAGTGAAAGCAACAAACATCTTAATGCGTAGAAAGTGATGTCCATGAAATTATTAATATCAGATGTCTGTTGGCAAAAGCCAAAATAGCTCATTTCAACTTCTCCCTTGAGTATGTAGCAAATAATAAGTATTGTTTATACAGAGGCGTCTCTATGTGAAAAAGATTTTCATTATTCTCAAAACTGCTGATTTACTACACAG